CTAATGTAAGTGTTCTGAGCATATCTAAGTTTGGCTAGGCTAAGCTGTGATGTTTGGTAGGCTAGCTGTGTTAAATGCACTTTCAACTCATGATAATTTCAACTTGTGATGGATTAATTAGGATATAACCCCATCATAAGTTGAGGAAGATCTGTATGGCTGTAGGGGTCAGGATTCCAACATAATGGATTCTGGGGTCAGGGGGTGGGTACAAACATTCGGTCTCCAGCTTATGTTTTCTTCTTCTAACAGTTTCTGAATATCTCAGCATTTTCTGTTCCCCAAATCCTCCCTTCACCACCCATCTGATTCTTGACCCTATAAACTGCTTCTTTTCATCCCAGACGCCCTTCCCCTTCACTTGTCACAACATTGTAGCAATGAGCTAGTATTTTAAAAATCCTAATAATAAGACTATTTTAAGGATAAACCAAAGTCCTCAACACCTTAGAGGTCCCTTACAATATAGGTTCACATCATGTCCTCTATCCCAGGCCATTTGCTCAGAGCTACGGGTTTATACTATACCCAACCACTGTTCATGCTCCAGGTATCTCATACCTCCAGGTCTAGACCAAAGGGAGCCCAGACTTCAGAGAGAGAAGAAAGTACTTCCCTCACTCTGTTCTAAAGCTCACTCAGGAATGGCTTCTTTCCAGAATGATTGACAATTGAAATGTCCATTTCCTTCAGATGCAAACCCATTCCTATCTACAAGGTTGTGGCCAAACTGCTTACAAGACAATTCTATGATGACTGATAGCATGTTTCCCAAAGCCCACATTCTCTAGCTTGTCCCCGATTTGTAGGACATCAATAGCCCAATGGAATTTAGGTGTTGCCAAAACTAGCATTATTCTGTGGTGGGCAGAATAATGTCTTCCAAGGATGTCTACTCCTAATCCCTGGAACCTTTGAATGTGTTCATTCCCTTACATATCAAAAAGGACTTTGCAGATGTGTTTAAGTAAAAGACCTTGAAATGAGCAAATTATCCTGGATTATATGGGTGGACTCAGTGTAATCACAAAGATCCTTAAACACAGAGAAACTTTCCTGGCTGTATTCTGAAGTAGATAGGACAACAGAAGAGGTGTCAGAGAGATGCAACATTACACACTTTGTTGTAAATAAAGGGGCCACAAGCAAAGGAATGTGGGCAGCCTACAGAAGTTGGAAGAGGCAAGCAAAATGGATCCTCCCCTAGAGCCTGGGTAAGGAATGCAGTTTTGCCAACATCTTGATTTTACCCCAGTGAGACCTATGTCAGACTTCTAACCTACAGCCTGTAAGATAATAAGTTTGTATACTTTTAAGCCATTAAGTTTGTGGTAATATGTTATGGCAGCAATAGAAAACTAATACCTTATTCTTTTTCAGTCCTTCCTCTTTAAGGCTGCAGAAGACATGGAGACCCATATCACACTTGTAATGTGTATTATGCTTGTTACACTGGTAATGTCAGTTCATCTTGGATGTGGTGTAGGGAATTTTGGTAAGCAGCATTCTGTACTAAACTTAGTCATTCTTGGACTCGAGAAAATGATCTAAAAAAGAAGAAGAAAATGATCTAAAACAGTAAATAAAGTTGAAGTCCATAGGGAGAATATTTAAATCAATTAGAAATAAATTCTCTAACCCAAGGGTTCTCAACTTTGGCATTATTGACATTTGGGGCCAGGTAATTCTCTGTTAGGTAGGGCTATCCTCTTCATTGCAGGATTTTTAGCAGCTTCCTCATCTCCACCCACTAGGTGCCAGTAGCAAGGCTTCTCCTTTGACAAGCAGACACTGCCAACGGTCCCCTAGGAGACGAAATCATTCCTGGTTGAGAACCAACGTTCTACCTCAGTGATATCTTGGAGGACAAAAAGCTGTCTTGTAAGGATAACCTTGCTATTCTAGGATACAAAAATGTTCCGTGAAGAAGTATACACTGGCAGGATATGTGTCGATGCCATAGGCCTTTACAGCTTCAATACGTGGAACACACAGTATCAGGAATACAAATATTCATTTCAAAGTGATTTATATATGAGGACCTTTGTGGATAAATTATCGGTATGGCCTTTCACTTTTAATATGAGGTCTCTCCCCATGAGGCAGTCGTTTTTCCTGGCAAGCTGACTCAGAGGGCATTAAGTGGAGCTGGGCACTGTGGCTTTACTTGCAAGGATGTGTCATGACTTCTGAGGAGATCACACACTCACACAACCAACTGCAGGGAGCTTCGAGTTACAGAGCATAGGCCAGTGGGCAGGAAGGGGACATTGCCATAGAGTCATTCTGAGAAGGGCAGGGGCTTCAAACATAGCTCAATTCGTCTGGGCTGAAGCTATTAAATGGGATGCATTCTCAGGAGAAAAAAAAAAACATCCATAGAGTGAGAGGTCATACACAACCAGTCCCAGATTTCCATTCCATGCCAGAGATTTAGTGACTTAGCCCTATGTGCTGGCACCTCAGGCTACCACGTGCACAAGACATCAAAGGTTACCTATTCTTCTCAAATATGGTAATGATCTAAAAATAGGGAAGTGATTTAAGAACTAAACAAAGCAACTGAGTTGGTTGTTTATAACCTGTGAATAAGTCAGTGCATGAATTCAGCTGATAACAATTTGAAAGTGAGGAATTCAGCCTAGAGCAAAACTTAATCCATTATCATGATCATATCAAACCAAATTAATACATTAAGAGAACAGATGGTCCAAGGTTCTAGTCTATAGCAAAATAGCTAAGAATTTGGGTGACATTTCTTTCTGACCATCAATAAAGTCAGCTGGGTCTCTTTTATAGGACAGAGATTTTCAAAACTGGGATTTTTCTTTAAAGGACACGTATAATGTCCAGTTGCCAGATGTAGTAATAGTCTATGGAAGCAGTATTTGGGAATGGGAAAGTGAGTTAAAAGTTATTCTCAGCAGAGTTCTATTTTAGATGGTTTTTATAAATACACTCCCTGTAATTAATAATCACGACACAATTAGAGAAAAACATCCCCTGTTGCCAATCTCCTTTAGATTAATTCAAGGCGGCCCCTCAATTACATCGCAGACAGAGGCACTATGGTCACAATTTACAGCTCTCTTCAAATAGTTCAAGGTCTGTTAGACTGGAGGGAAATTAAGTCCCTAGATGTGTCTCCAGAATGAGAACCCTTAGATGGAAGTTTCAGGAAATCAGGTTTCAGAACAAAATACAAAAACCCTTTTGTTGTTGTTGTGCAATGAGACTTGGTTAGCCAGAGGGGCTGAGTTCTATTGCTCCTCAGCTCCAGCAGGGGCTGCAGAATCATTTCTTTAGAGCAGTGTGTGCAGGGGCCCTGATTTCAATGAGAGGCTAGACTGGCAGCCTCTTCACTCTGTCAAGGTCTACACTCCAGCATTTGGAGGTGGCTGCCAACTGGGGCTCCAGGTCCTGGGTTCTAAGACATCAGATGACTCTCCCAGCCCCAGAGGGACCTGACAAGGCCTCCCAGAGCAGAAAGGGATAGTAGGAGGCTTGTCATGTTTTCTGTGCTGGGGCCACTGGTCATGACGGAGCGCAGGCTCTGTCAATAGCACAGGGTACCATGGTATGAGGAATGGCCCATGGTCCACTCCTCTGCTCTTTACTCCCCTTTCCAGCAGCAAAAGTTTTTATAACCTAATTAAGGTCTCATTCCTAATAAGTCAGGTCCTCTATTAATGTTTGTGAGCCAGCTCAAAATTTTGGCTTTAACCTGTTCCCTAAGTATCTTATAAATGGAAATCAGTCATTCAATAAATATGTATTAAGAACCTGCTTGTGTCAGGCCCTGTAGCACGCATTGAGAATAAAGGGATGAGCAAAATAAGGGTGGACCCTGCCTTTTAAGGTGTTAACAGTCAAACAGAGGAGATAGGAAATGAGCAAGCACTACAGGAACATATGGCGGCAGCCTCTCATCTGTGGAGGTGAAAGGGGGCTTGCCAGAGCCAGGGGCCTTTAAGCTGAGACCTGAGGAAGGAGTGGGGCTAAGACAAGGAAAAGAATGAGTGTTCCAAACAGAGGAGGCGGCCTGAAGGTCAGAAGTCAGCAGAGCTATCTGCTTTTGAGGAAGTGGTAGAAGCTCCCCGTGGTTGCGATATAGAGAGGTGGGGAGTCCTGAACACTCAGGCTGGAGAGATGGGTTGAGGGCCTTCTCCTTCTTGGGGATTGTGTGGTGTAATCATATTAAACCAATTACACTGGGAACAAGGAAAGCACCGCCCAAAGGGCTATAAAACAACCTACCCCAATACCAGTGTGCATCTCTTCCTCAAGCAAAGTCCTGTCCCTGCCCAGACAGCCCAGGTGCTGATCTGTCTGGCCACACAGCCTAGAGGTGACCCTGACAGTAGAGCCAGCAACTGTCTCTCTGTCCCATCTCTCTGCAGTCCCCACCAAAGGTTGCTAGGAAGCTGCTACCCTCCCCCAGAGAGGGCCTACTGCTGAGGTATCGTGTACACCACAGTCTCTAGGTCCACCACCGCCCGACTCTGGTACCACCCTGCTGGAGCACTTCCAATACACAGACTTGAGCAGGGACTTCAGTGGGACATGCCCATCTGTCAGCGTTGTTCTCAGGGCACAGCATCACCTGGAGAGGGAGTCTGGAGAGGGGAATGTTAGTGAGATGGCCTGTCCCTTCCATACTGTTTTATGCTCACTTTCCCCCTTGGGATTGGTTGGGAACGATATCCTGGAATGACAGATACCAACTCCAGCCTCTCTCCTCCACCCTCTACCCCAGGTTGCATGATGTGGGAAGGTGGGGAGATTGTGTGGATGCAGCTGTAAACATTGCGGTCTCCCCCATCTCTAATTAGGGCCCCTGCCACACCCCTGCATCATGCAGCTTACCGATGGGTGAAGAGAAAGCTTTATCTGATTCCCACTTTGAGCCATTACCAGGAGTTCAGAGTCTCAAGGATGCAAGTGGGTTTTCAGGGCCTGCCCCTCCCCTGTTTCTCAGGGCAGGCAGCTCTCCTGGGCCTTGGCATATGTGCCCCCAGGGAATACCTCCAGTTCTGAATAAAAGGGATCAACTTGGTTGCCAAAGAATCTTGGGGGGGCACAGGGTAGCCATCCAGCAGTGATCACAGATAATGACAGTTAGCTCTGGAAACCACACCTGGGAAAAAAAATTGCAGGTTTATGCAGCTAAAAGTAGAACTTGTTTGGTAGAATTTGAGCCCTAACTAATTGATCAGGATGTTAAGAAGTGATGGTTTATTGTTTAGGTGTGATCATAGTGTTAGGGATATATTAAAAAGAATCTTTTAGAAAAACAGGCCAAGCTGAAATATTAATAAAATCATATGCTGTCTTGTAATTTATCTCAGCATAATCTGACAATGGAAGGAGAGTAGGGATATGTGAGGTTAGACAAGCTTAGCCATTAGCTCATGATTGTTGAGCCTGGTTGACAGAGACTCAGGGTACATAAGACTTATGACACTATAATCTCTACTTTCGTCTGTGTTTGACATTTTACCTACTATGCAGTTTTAAAGAGTATATCTAGTAAATATGCAAACTACCAGAAAGGTTTAAAATAACAGAAATCCTTTAAAAAGGTATTAATAAATGCACTTCGCTAGGTGAATAAAGGCAGAACAAAGTCTCCACAACACATATGGAATCAAGTAAACCAAAGATAGCTTTTGGAAGACCTTTTGCTGTGGATTATAGGTATGGAAAATCTAGGCTTGAAAATTAAAATTAGGTGACATACAAAGAAGGGAAAATCAATAGAAAGATCTTAAGTAATGTATATTCTTTCTTCGCAACGATACTATTAGATTCACCAGCTAATTAAGATTGAACAACAACAACAAAAAACATTTATTCATTTTCTGAAGTTTTGAGTCCAATGCAGCTAGAGGTCAGAAACAGAGTTCCAAGTAACCTCCAGGTCTCCCAAATTGGTTTCTGTGTAAATGAGAGACAATATCAAATGTCTCAGAATCATTCTTTCAATTCTACTGTTGGCGGGTTTAGCTCAAAAAAAAAAAAAAAAACAGACATCAGTTTATTATCAAAAGGACTGGAAATATTCAGTTCTCAATCAAAGGTGTACAGATGTGGCAAGATTCAGAAGTGGATCCTAACCCTCAGGTGGGGCTCACCCACAAAATGTAAGAGAAAGGAAGAGAATACAGTGAGCTGGTCATTTCATTCTAACTTAGAATTTAGAAGTCTATCATGATCCAAATTCTCAATTCAGTAAAAAACTGCCAAGGTTTTCATGTCACACTTCATCTGCCACGAGGAACTGAATCAGGACACAGACAGTACTGACCACTTGAGCAAGTGCCCAAGCCACTTTCAGGTAAGATCAGAGCCTAACAATGAACTATTTGGTGCCCCCTGGGTGCTAAGCATGTCACCAATATTACTGAATATAAACTTTTCAGCACTCTTATTTTCTTTCCATTTTACAAATAGGGAAACCAAGGCACAGAGAGGTTCAGAAAGTCACCTAAAGTCATATAACTAGTAAGTCGCTAAGTTTGGATTTAAAACTGATTTAAAACTACAGAATCCATGTCCGTTGCCACCACACAAGCCCATTTTATTAAATACAATGGAGATTTTAAAATATACCAGAGACTGTGTTCTCTCTGGCATTAACCAAGTAAACGCATACTCTTTTGTTGATCCATCAAGCAAGTCAGCCAATTATGTCCTTTATCCCTCACTACAATTAACCTCTAGGGCTATGAAATTCCTTTCCTTCCAGAGGCTCGTCAGGACTCCAATCTGGAATATGGCAAAGAGACACACACACACACACACACACACACACACACACACACACACACAGTTGATTTTGGTGGGTTGAAAGCCAGAGACTAAGGGAAAAGAACCCCTGGGAAGGATGCCTGTGATAATCAAAATTAACTTCTGATTAGAATTAAGAAGAGAGCCCAATCTAAGGCAAAGTGGACTTGTTAATTTGCCAGAGAAACAATTCATTTCCTGTCCAGGAAGGAAGTAAATCTAGCCCTGCAAGTATGTGGGTAAGATGGTCGCACATGACCTGAGAAAGAGGTAAGAAAGAAGGAACTCTTTTCACACAGGGTCTTTCTTAGGAGTAAGAGGCAAGGCCGATCTTTCCCCGGCAAGCTCAAGCTCATTAGCTCTGTGTTGCTAGCCTCATATGAGATCACTAAGATTTACTGTATAATATTTAACTGGATCCAGTTACAATGTCCTTGTTAACTCTGAAAGACAAGTTATTTGGCAGAAAACTGAACACAATCCTCCCCTTTGAGAGGTGTAAATATTTATCTCCCTAATCCCATTGGGAGAACAATCTCGTAACTAATAATATGGTCTCTGCAAAGACGTAACCATAGAGCTCAGCTAGGAGAGTCACTAATTAAAAGGCATCTTCTCCATGATATAATTTTTGAACTAGCTGATCAGAAGCATTTAAAGGTAAAATAAGGCATTTTGTTTTCCAGTTTTTGACGCGTGTGATTTACGCCAAGTTTCTTCATTTAATTAAACACGTGGGAAGGACAAATAATGGCCTACACTCATGCTCTCCCTCACAAATATTTCACAGTGCTACAAGGTGAGTGGCACAAATGAGTGATATATAATTTCAATTAAAGAATTGAAGTTTATGCATTTTTTCTTAAATTAAAACAGAATCGTGGATTTTTTTCCAATAATATCACTCTTGCTAGCTTGTATTTTGTTTAATTCTGGATTTTGATTGATTATACATGATAAAATTCCAGTTCAGGGTATCCTAAACAAGAAAAGGAATTTATTAGTTAGCATAACTGAAGAGTCTTAGAGAAGTAACATCTTCAGATATGGCTTGACCAAGATGCTAAAACAGTGTCATGTAGACTTTTACTCTCTCAACCTTCTTTCTTTGCTTTCCTTGACACTGATTTCATTCTCATGTAGGCTCTCCCCATGAAGTAGCAGAATAGCTTACCTTACCACTTAGCAACACCAATAGAAATCAGACCTTTCCTTCCCATTATTATAGAAAAACTCTGGGATTGAGTCTCACTCTATCACTGGGGTCACTTGTCCATTTCTGCCTCCAGGGGCGATAAAATATGCTGATTTGTTCAATCAATCACTCCCCTGGAGAGGGGGCACTGGGCAGGTAGTGGGTCCCACTCAATTACATGGGCAGAGAGCAAGATGATTATTAGACAAAATGAAATGCTGGTTCTAAAAAGAAAACTGAAAGCCAAGCGGACAAAACCAAAAGTAGTCAACTCCATACAACAATGCAGAATGTTAGCAAAAGCATTTGTCCACTGCACCTAACAGACAAACCTATCTTAGGTTTCACACTCTTACAGGACAACACCAGCAATTACATTATGGTCGTAATGTGGATTAGAATCTCGTGAATCCTAACAATTTATTTTCTTATTTTATTGATAGATAAATTTTGAATAAAGAAGAGAGCACAGGAAAATGCAGAGAGAGTAAGTACTATATCCACATCTATACTGACTCTGATGCCATTATGGTAAACTTTGCTTAACTTTACATCCAGATTCTTTTCCAAGTGTCATCTATCATATGTGCGAAAACAGATGAAGGTATGAGAGCTGCGCCAAGACCTCTGAAGAATGAGCCTTATGGTAGCCCATCTCTGCAGGAGGGGAACCTCTAACCCACTGGAAAAGTTCTGGTTGCTTCATTTATGTTGTTTGGGTTTATTTTGGAATTTTTTCCTCAGATTTCCAACCGATACTAGCAGATAATATAGGAATTGCCAAGGATGTTATTGATATCAACAATATAATTTGCAGAAAGATCCAAGCTTCAAAATGAGGGTAGAAATGAATGACTTTCATTGCTTTATACAAGCAATTGCATTTTAGTGCCCCCAAATAATTCTATCTTGTTTCATATTGCCATAGAATAAGGTAGTTGATGTAGGAAATTTTTCCAGCTACTTGTTTAAATTATATGTTACTTTGACACATTTTTCTAAAGTGCATCATTTTATTTAGGAGCTTAACACACGTATTGGAGCCATAGATAGTTCACATGTCAAAAATCGGCAGTCTCAGGTCTGATAACTTACTGGGGTTTGTATGGATCTTTAGCCGATATATTAGATGTCTTCAAACTCATGTGAGATTGGACTTGCATCTGCTCTGTCCTCCTCCACTGCCAGATGGTCCACTAGCTTCTTAGCGCTACAAGCATACCTTCCTCATTGCAGTTTCTGACCTGTGCTAGAAGGGGTAACAAATAGCTTGTTAGAATTTATCTAAAATAAGAGTACATAGATTCCATGTGATAATTTAAGGAGTTCTGCAGTAAGTAAGGTACAAGGGTTTCAGTGGCAGTCAGTGTTAAGATCGACAGGATTCAAAAATCATCTATCACTTTTTCACTTCACTTTTCTTGTGAAATTCAAATTAAATAATCTGAAAGCCTTTTGTAAATTATGAAACAATACCCCAAAATTAAATGCTGTTGATATTATTTTTCCTTGAACTTGAAGCTTTGACTTGTTGCTGAAAACCATCCAAATTTTTTGGTTTCTTTTTCCTTCCTGTATCCTTCAGAGATAAATCGAAACAAGTAATGGTTTGTTTCATTCAATCATGTTTTTATTTGCATTCTATTTTTCCAAAGTCCAAGTTCTACTTTGTTTTTGGATTTGTTTTGTGGGATTGCATTATATATTCTATAAAATTTGGGGAGTGTTGGGAATGAATATATGCTCAGAGGACCTTCGGGACAGGTTTACAGCATTTTAATAAGTGGATTTGACAGACCTAGGGAATCTACTTCCCATATCGATCCAATAAAGACCCAAGGAATGAAGTATGGATAGGGACTATTAAGAGGTCTCTTTGAGACCCCTTTCTTTATTGGATAGAGATTCAAGGTATGCCTAATTGCCAAGTTTAGCAAATAAAAGACCAGTTAAATATGATTTTCGTATGAACAATGAATAAATTTTTAGTGTCAGTATTGCCAAATGTTATGTCCTGTACTTTATCTGGCAACTGTAGGTAAGACATTGCTTTTAAGATTCTTAAAAGACTCCTTATCTACTTGAAAAGGACCATAAGTAGTCTTAACAAAACTGTAACCTTCAGGTGATCTTTACCCAAAAGTGAGATACCGTTGTCATCTGGAAAAGGATTCTGTGGGTTGACCAGGGTCATCTGAGATGTTCTCTTTTAGTGTCTCTCATGTAGGTGCAATTATATGGCTGCTGGGGCTGGAGTGATCTAAAAACTCAACTGAGCTGGAGACCCAAGAGACCTCACTCACATAACTGGCTATTGACTGGGAGCTCAGCTGACACTATTGATTAAAGTCTCTACATATGGCCAATCCTCATGGCTTAGACTGCTTCTGGCAGGATGGCTGTATTCCTAAACAACATCCCAAGAATGAGTGTTCCAAGAGCTAAGTCTTTTGTTTTTGCCTTCAAAGAAAGCAAACTCAGTGATATTGTTGGTACCACCAACACTCACGTCCTAGAGATGTTTAATATTGTTACAGCAGATGTTGCACGGCTTCTGGTCTCTAGGAACACATTTACTTCAATAACTATGAGTAGAAAGACAAAGAGCAGAGGTCAAAGAGTAGCAGGTGAAATGAGGATTGGATGAAGAGGCAGAGGGACAGGTGTGGAGGCAAGTTATAGACAGAGCAGTGGTGGCCAGGAGTAGTGGATGGGGTGGGAGATAGAGTGGGAGAGACACTGGATTGATATATGGATTATCTAGGATAATTCTGAGGAAAGGAGAGCTGGTTTAATTAAGAAATAAGTTTACCTCTGAGGAAGAAAAACTGAGAACCTGAAATACAGTAAAAAAGAAATCTTTTTATACTTCAGACCCTATAAGAAACTAAAATGTAGTAGGTTTGTGGTTTATCTTTTCTTAAAGAAAGTAAAATTTTATTTGATTTTATTTACACTTCTTTCCATTTCTATTAAGTCTATGCCTAGTCACTTTAAAATAAAAGGCTACTTTCACTTAAATGCACTAAAAAAGTTAATTTAACCATAGAAACTTGCCTCTAACATAGATCTTGGCTTATATCTTGAATTATAACATTCACTTCACTGCTGTTTCCCTTCCATATTTCATGAATGTCCCAAGTATAAGCTGAGAGCCCCAAAGGTATTCAGGACCTTGAGTGACTTTAATTCCACTCTATCAAAGTTTCTAATCGTAAGTTCTTGAACTGCTTAAGCTACACTGGGTGTGCAATGTTTGATTGAGGCTCCCTGTGATTGTAGGTTAGCCCCAGAGGTTGCTTTTGGTTAAATAAATATTAGGTCTGTTGGAAGGCTACCTTTCCCAACCATAACATAGCTGCCTGATGAGCAGAACAGTTGGTGGCTGAGTAAGAATATGCTCTGCCTGCTGCCATGAAGCGTGAAAGGAGGTTGCTGATAGCTCGACTTGCCCTGAGAGACTGCAAAATAGAAAGGTCAAGCAACTCAGTTGTATATTGGGTCTAAAATGCAACTGAGTTGTTTCTGAAAGGCAAGCCCAGAGGGAGACTATAACAAGAGGGAGAAATGAGATCCTACTGTCCAGCCAGTGACTGAAAAATCAGGCTATGATCTAGTCTGTCCCTGTATCAGAAAATAGAAATGTCCACAAAAGCCAAACTATGGAAAGAGCCAAGATGTCCATCAACAGATGAATGGATAAAGAAGATGTGGTATACACACACACACACACACACACACACACACACACACACACACACACACACTGGAATATTATGCAGCCATCAAAAAGAATGAAATCTTGCCATTTGCAACGACGTGGATAGGACTAGAGGGTATTATGCTAAGCGAAATAAGTCAATCAGAAAAAGACATGTATCCTATGATCTCACGGATATGAGGAATTCTTAATCTCAGGAAACAAACTGAGGGTTGCTGGAGTGGTGGGGGTGGGAGGGATGGGGTGGCTGGGTGATAGACATTAGGGAGGGTATGTGCTATGGTGAGCGCTGTGAATTGTGTAAGACTGTTGAACCACACACCTGTACCCCCGAAACAAATAATACATTATATGTTAAAAAAAAAAAAAGAAGATATAGGAAGGGAAAAATGAAGGGGTAGAAATCAGAGGGCGAGACGAACCATGAGAGACTATGGACTCTGAGAAACAAACTGAGGGTTCTAGAGGGGAGGGAGGTGGGGGATGGGTTAGCCTGGTGATGGGTATTAAAGAGGGCACGTACTGAATGGAGCACTGAGTGTTATATGCAAACAATGAATCATGGAACACTACATCAAAAACTAATGATGTAATGCATGGTGATTAACATAACATAATAAAATTAAATTCAAAAAAACAAAGAAAACAGGAAATTTCGCCCACAGCATTCAGTAACTGGACCTGGAAAGCCATTGAGTAGGGAGGGAAAAGTAATGGGGGTGTACATTTCATGCTAAATCAGAGTATATATGGCCCTGGAGAAAAGCAAAATAAGACTGGTGGTCACCAGTCAGCAATATATGCATCCTGTTGATGTGGCCTAGCCATGAGTAACTAGAAAAAAGTTTTATTTGGAAAATGGGGCTTGGGAATACAAATGAGTTAAAGTGATAAAGGAATAACCAGTTTGCCTCTATAGGCCATAAAGGCTGAGATTAACCTATCCTAACATAGCATTTCTAAACAGCCTTGGAGGCAGATAATCATACCTGAATAGTCTTCAGTCTCCTTCTCCAAGAACTAGTCTTGACATTGGAGACATTAGGTAATGTTGGAAATGTACAGTGGATCTTTGCTACATACATTGTTGCTCTAACCTTGTCATATCATCCTTGTGGCAAAAGGACAAGGGTGGTTCATTTGTTGATATTTCAAACATCAGTTACTCGTCCTCCCTCACTTAAATAAAGCAAAACAACTCCTAGAGTTTACCTAACTCACTTCAGACAGTGTCTTTGTGTAGCTTCCAGGGAAGATCAAAAACTCTTCATCCCTATGTGTCTGAGGCCGGCTTATCATAACCAGCTGGATTTGCAGCTCGGTAGCCAAAGCCTGGCTCCCTCTAAGCGGTCATTCCCGTAGCACTTCTGCTATCCTCAGATGACCACGCAGAGGCAAACGGAGAGATATCCCTTCTTTTCCGTCTCCCTTTCTTTCCTCCACAGGAGTGGCTCAGCAGCTCCATTAAGGTATTCAGATTTCCAAAGACCAGCCCCCATGAAGTGGCTTTCCAGGTGGGAACTTGACAGAGCAGAGGCAGATTACTGACACTTCTGCGTCTGGGCGGGAAATGGAATGAAGCGCACTTGCAGCAGAAAGACAGACGCCACTCCCTTTTCAGACAGCCTCCGGCCACTTGAGTCACTGAAACCTCACTGAGCAGCACAGTTACCTATGAAAGAGCTTGACCCACGGGTAACACTCAGAACCCGGAACCACTGGCACAGCCTGAACCCTGAATAAAAGCTGGGTCTGGAAGGTCCCGCTATGCCAAGAGTTAACCCTTGAGGTGCTGGATTCAGGGTGTCTAGAGGTTCTTGGGGCAGAGGCAGGTGTGGTTTGCACAAGTATTTCAGCACTCCAGCAGCTGTGGTAGTTGTGTCTGCGTTCGCCTGCGTCCTGTCATTCCTGTTCATAGCCTGCACCTTTCTCTAAATGCTCTATTATAAGACACACAAAAAATAAATATGATATGATCTTGATTTTGTACCTTTGCCGTGTTTCTTACGCAATTATGTAGTTAACTGCACTGTCTTAAGTTTTCCTTGTGTGAGATAGTTTTCCCCACCTTCAGTCAAGACATCATGAAAACACAGTGATTGTGAGAGCTTTCCGAAGGAAAATCTGTCATCTGAAAATAGCATTACTACTCTCTAGTACTGTCTTTGAAAGAGTCTTAAAGAATTTTTGTCATGTAACTTTCTTGACACAGTCATTAAAAATGCACATACTAACTTAGTGGGATTCAGATTTGAGAGTTATAACTACTGCTCCCCTTCTCTTCGTTATTATTAGTGTATTGTGTTGGTGTCATTTAGATAACATTCTAAAGGAAAGTTTAGGCTTACTCTTTTTTACTGTCCCTGAGTCAAATATTTTTGAATGGGTCAAAAATACACTCTTCTTATTTCTGTTTTTTACCACAATAAAAAAAGTTGTTAATGATGTTAGAGTATATTAGAAATCCAGGGACTTCCAATATAAGGACACAAATAAATATTTATATGTATACTGATACCTGTATATTAACTGAGATGTGACTTGTAAACATTAAGACTGTCATATTCAATTGACTAATGGATAAAAAAATATATATACTGTATCACATTAACACGAATATCTGAGGACATAGTACAATTTTCACAGCGAAGCCACTTCCTCAGCAGGATAAGGTGAAAATAACACATTTCTGTTAGCACCCAAACCTAAACCATTAGTTGATAAAACGAATGAAAAATAAAACATGTACTGAAGGAGATAAACCTGTTTCTTTATCTCATCACTTAATGGCTTAGAAAAGGTTTCTGAGGGAAGAAAAGGTTGTGGGAATTGGGTTGCATGTAGAGGAGGATGATTTCAGTTATAGAGTAATCTCATCGGTATTGCCACAAACCAAGTGCAAGTGACTGCCATAGAGTAGAACTAAAAGCCCTCCTGAATGCATACTGAGCTTCAAAACAAAGAGCAATATAACCGGGGGCTGCTAGATACAAGTCTCCTGAAAGGACATTGTAATTAAAAATATCTGAAGAGTATTTTAAATACAAAGTACCAAGTCATTTCAGGAAGGTCACGGGACCATTGACAAAGAATGACAAGGATACTCCGCAAGTAAGTGCTGGGAATTGCATGTTTTACTTAGAGACGAAAAGAAAAGTAAGTGGAGGGTAGAATTCATGTCCCATTCTAATTTTATCGTCGTGAGAGTAGCCATGCCACCACTCAATGACCTGTTCCTGCTTCTGCATCGCTTACACCTGCAAGGGACGGTGTGGAATCAGAAGTAGCACTTGCCATTAAGTCCCAAAACAAAGTTTCTGTCGAAGAGGAAGTAACGGACAGTTTAGTGATGGGCGGGTGTGGAGGGGCAGACACAGAAGAAGGAAGCAAGTGTTGAAATTTGAATTGAGAAACATCCTTTTCATCCAGCCCATCCTCTCCCTGAGCCTGTCTTGTGCCACACGGCAAAGAGCCTCCAGGGTTTTGAGAACCTGAGCTTGAATCAAGATGCTAGATGTCAGTTCTGTTGACATCATGCATTTCCTCCACAACATGGACAAATAATGTCTTCCACAGCTCCACTCACCTGTCTGTAAAAGGAAGATAAGGTACACATTTTTCCACTTGAAGTTGTAACGAGGAAATGCTTAGACTGAGTCTCTTCAGTGAGGAACCGGAACACAAGAAGCACCGTGCCCCCGAGCGGCATTGATCTACATTTTCACCGAAGCAAATTCAAAGATATACTTGGGATGTCCTGGACACCCAGATAGACACAAGATACAACATAAGTCCTTGACCGTCATTCATTCTGTACATCCTGCTTTAGCCCTGGTCAAAAGCAGGCTTCAAAAAGCAGAATTGTCGTCATGTAATTCTCTGTTCAGGTATATATTATGATAACACACTTTTTTAGCACTTACCATGTTTTACCAAGCCCAGTTTTAAGTACTTTGCACATATCACTCATTCATCTGCCTGATAACCCCCTGGTGAATACTATTTTTCTCCCCTCTTTATATTTAGGCAAATAAGACAGAATAGATAAATTGCCCTAGAGGTACTGGTTTCCTCTTGCTGTATAAAATCAGCACGAACTCAACAGCTTGAGATAATACACCTTTATTGAAGCATGGTTCCTGTCAGTCACGAGTCCAGGCACGTCTTAACCGTTCCTTTGCTCACGGTCTCCTTGTAAGGCTGCAATGGAGGTGTCCTTGTGCTGCTCGCGCATCCCCAGGCTCAGCTGGGGAAGAAACTGCTTCCCAGCTCACGCAGATGGTTGGCAGAAATCATCTCCTTGCAGCTGCAGGACAGAGACCCTCCCTTTTGCTGGCTGTTGGCTAGAGGCCACCCTTAGGTGCTAGAGGCCACCCTTAGGTGCTAAAGGCCACCTGAGTTTCCTTCCTGTGCGGCTTCTCCCAATTGGCTACCTATATCATCAAACCTACAAGGAGAGCCTCTCACCTCATGGAAGAATCAGTCCCTCCCTTAAGGGCTGTTCACCTAATAAAGGTGGGACCCACTATGGGGTACTCTTCCATTTAACTCAAAATCAGCTAATGTGAGACATTAATTCTATCTGCAAAATCTCTTCACCTTTGTTGTATTTTACCAGTGGTAAGTCAGTCACAAGTCCCACTCACACGCAAGGGAAGGGATCCCACAAAGGTTTGAATAACAGGAGGTGGAAATTATTGGGGAGTCACCCCAAGGTCTATCTGCCACACTAGATCAGTGCTTCTCAAACTTGAACACACATATGAACCATCTGGTAATCTCTTTGCCTGATGAGGAGTATTGGATAAATATTACTGTAGATTCTCAACAATCACATCCTCTCTTTAAAAAAGGGAGGATTTTTTTGGTTTTGTTTTATAAATTGGACCTCCATAGACATTCTCATCTGACTGAAGTGTTTCATCAGAGAAACCTTTCCCTTCTAAGGAAAAGGAAAGGAAGTACAGGTTTTAAATATTCCTTGGCTTTTGAAGAGAATATTTACTTTAAAGAAGACAGGATATAAAACATGTACTTAGCTACAAATAACTCGCCTTGGACTTTGTAGGGGGAGCTCTTTCTTTTGAAGATAATAAAAAAACCCTGAATGAAACTTTCTCTTCTTGTAATCTCTCCCAGAGAGGAAACTGTTATCTACCTTCTTTTAAAAATGCTGCTTAGAGGGGCACCTGGGTGGCTCAGTCGTTAAGCGTCTGCCTTCGGCTCAGGTCATGATCCCAGGGTCCTGGGATTGAGCCCCGCGTCAGGCTCACTGCTCCGTGGGAAGCCCACTTCTCCCTCTCCCACTCCCCCTGCTTGTGTTCCCTCTCTTGCTGTCTCTCTCTCTGTCAAATAAATAAATAAAATCTTTTTTAAAAAAATGCTGCTTAGATCCTTACAATTTAAATTTAGCTCTTGGGCACCCTCTGCTTTCTCCCTGTGGGGTACAAGTGGTGTTAAATGACAGAAAGATGTTAAACAAGATATCTCCCCACACGGCTTCTTTTGACTCTTTGAATAAGTGCCAAACTCTACTTACAAAAAAAACAACAACAAAAAAAAGTCTGAAGATAAGTCTGTCAGAGGGTCTTGAAATTAACATAACTCAGACCTCATGCCAGTGTTCTAAAACTTAAAATAGTGAAGTACCAATTGTCTGCCAGTTAGCCGCAAGGCTTCCAAGGCAAAGCCAGTGCTCCAAGATCAGAGCACGCCTCCAACGCTTACCTTGGCATTGGGAAAATGAAGGCAGAAGGACCAAGATAAATGCTTCCTTGTAAAAGCACACATTGAAAGCTGAAATCTTACCACAGATGAGAACCACAATGAGATCATCTCTTTGAGCTGTGCTAATAGCTTTACATTCCAGGCCCCATTTAATCTTCACAACAAACTTTTCAAATGCATATTTACACTTCCCACTTGGTTAGGCAACTCAGGCAGAGAGAAGTTAAGAAACACACTCAAGGTCACACAGCTAGCTGGTGGCTGGACTGAACTTAAACCCAAGTCAGCCTACTAATGCAGACAGAGAAGGGGAAAAGCACACTAGGATGCTCGAGGAAAGTAAGAGAATACCATGCAAGAAGACTGTAGTGGATTGAATGGTGGCCACCCACCATTGGGCGGTCCACATCCTAACCCCTGGAATTTGTGAATATGACGTCATTTTTAAAAGGGTCTTTGCAGATCCTCCTGGATTATCTGGGGGGGCCCTAACTAAACCCAATGACAAAGGTCCTTACATAAGAAAAAGGCAGAGGAGAATGTGGCACACAGAGAAGAGGAAAAGACACAGACATGAAGGACCATATAAAGACAGAGGCAGAGACTGAAGAAGGGTTGCCACGAGCTGAGGAAGCCTGGAGCCACCAGAAGCTGGAAGAGGCAAGAAAGAACCTCTCCCTGCCAAGTTTGTGGCAATTTGTTAGGGCAGCCCTAGCAAAACAGTACAGACTTAGAAAAGGAAACCTTAGGTTAACAAGTTGTGGAGTCCTGTGTGCCCGAATCTCTGACTGGATTAGACACCCTGAGAGGGCACCGACACCACCTCATCTGTCTCTGAACGTCTAAGCTTTGTGATTTTGATGTGCTGCTTAATGAACGTTCATTGAAAGGAACCACAGAAAGAGCTGGAAGTCTAGCAAGTAGATGCAGTAAAGGCTGTAAGCCTGAAACCCTCTGAGAGCATGCAGTGGTGGCGGTGGCAAGTCCGGTCCTTGTAAAAGGGCACATGGAACGGCAGTAGGGTGTGCGTGCGTGCGTGCGTCCATGTGTGTGCGTGCGGCTCTCCCGCAGGACTAAGGAGAAGGATCAGGAGTCCTGCCATCATCTGGGGAGGTAGCTGCGGCCCTGGGGAAATTCAGAGCTGCCAAATGTTTTCAGCCTTGTCTAATCAAAACATAGTCGTGGAAATGGACACCGATTCCTGTAAAATCTGGAATGGGAGAAAATAGAAATAAATTCGAGGCCCTCTTCCTATTCACTCTGTTTTATTTTTTAATTTACTTTTTAAGTAAATTTAAAAAAACACAAAGGTATGCAGTGAAGTCTCCCTCCCCCATCACCCATCGATTCACCCACCAAATATTTGTTGAGTACCTACTCTGTGCCCTGTTCTCAGTGCTTGGGGTGCATGAGTAGGGCAGGCAAAACAGTTGTCCTCATGGCCTTCACATTCAGCTGCGCTGAGAAGTGGAGGCACAAGTCCTTGAGAAGGCCACACTTGAGCAAAGACTTGCAGGGACCTTAGCGAAGCAATTATCTTTGCCCTGCTACGTTTGTAGTGAACAGTTTTCTGAAAGCTTCTAGAGTTTCTTTGTGGATATGGCAGCAAATTTGAACATATACACTTATTTTCTCTTTCTTGAAAACAAAAAACAGCATATTCTACTGTATCTTGCTTTTTTGTTTAGTAAATCTTGGAGATTTTTATCAGATAACTTTCTGGACTGGAAAGTTTACCTGTTTATTTATCTTTGTACTACTGACTAGAACATCCTTATTTGGGTGGATATAATAATGAATTTAATTGTTTCCTTATGATGGAAATTTTGGTTGTTTTTAATCCTTCACTATTCTGAAAAATGCGATAGTGCATAACTTTGTACAAATATCATTTGACTCTCTTGGATAATTTCCCAGAAGAGGAATTTCTGGGTCAAAGCTCTATGAATGAGTGATTTTTAACAAATACTGCCAACTGCCCTCCTGATATATACCTCCCAACAACAGTGAAGGAGAGTGCTGGTTTCTCACACATGACTAACTGTGTGACATAAAATATTTGTTTATAACTAAGTGTTGTGGCCATTGCAGTTGGCAGAAAAGTGATAATCCCATGTAATTTTAAATTTTAGTTTGTGTCTTATAAATAAGGGTGTGTTTAAGAGCCATTTGCATTTCTTTTCCAATTAACTCTATATTTTTGCCCAATTTTCTACTGGGAAGTTGGCCTTTTTCTCATTGATTTCTATGTGCTTTTTATATACTAGGGAGATTATTCTGTTTTAAGAGTTGCAAATATTTCTTCCTGTATGTTGTCTTTTGACTTTATCTATAGTTTCTCTTTTATTTATATTTTTCCTTGCATAATTTTTTCAATGTAGTAACATGTATTGATATTTTTCTTTATAGCCTCTAGATTTTGAACATTATTTCAAAAGACTATCCTCTCTACAAATTTACAAAAGGATGTTCTCATTTTCTTCTAGTATGGTTTCATTTTTTACATTTAAGTCTTTGATCTATTTAGAAAGTATTCAGGTGCACAGCGCGAAGGATGAATCCAACTTTTTCCTCAGCTGCCCCCTTACTTTTCCATCACCATCTTTTGAATAGTCTATTTCCCCCCTCCTGATCTAACACCTGTATCATGTATTAATTTCTTATATGTAGTTGGGTTTATTTTCTATCCCGCTCCAGTGGTTCTGTTTGTCAATTCATGTCAATACAATACTATTTTATAATTGAAGTCTCTCTCTCTCTTTTTTGTGTTTGTGTGTGTTTTCCTGTCTTTTTTTTTTTTAAGATTTATTTATTTTTGAGAGAGAAGGGAAGGGAGGGGAAGAGGGAGAGAGAGAGTCTTAAGCAGACTCCTCGTTGAGCATGGAGCCAGACATGGGGCTCAATCTCATGACCCTGAGATCACAACCTGAGCTGAAACCAAGAGTTGGACACTCAACTGACTGTGCCACCCAGGCACCCCAATTCTTGATTATTTAATTTTCATATGACCTGTAGAATCAGTTTGTCTCCTTCTAAGGAGAGAAAAATATTAAATTATTGTAATAGAGTTAAATTTACCATGGAGAGAAATTATGTAAAACCCTCCTAAGATTATGTGTGTTTTTTTATATTTTATTTTTTTAGGTTTTATTTAAATTCCAGTTACTTAACATACACTATAATATTAGTTTTAGGGGTACAATATAGTGATTCAACATTTGCATATATCACCTGTGTTCATCACAGCAAGTGCAGTCCTTAATCCCCATCACCTAATTAACTCATCTCCCTACCCACCTCCCTTCTGGTGACCATGAGCTTGTTCTCTATAGTTAAGAGTCTGTTTCTTGGTTTGCTTCTTTCTCTCTTTTTTTCCCCTTGCTCATTTGTTTTGTTTCTTAAATTCCTCATATGGGGGAAATCATATGGTACTTGTCTTTCTCTGACTCATTTCACTTAGTATAATACCCTCTGGCTTCATCCTTGTCCTTGCAAATGTCAAGATTTCATTCCTTTTTATGGCTGAGTAATATCCCATTGTGTATATATATGCCATCTTTTTTATCCATTCATCAGTCCATGGACACTTGGGCTGTTTCTATAAATGACATATCCAACTATGATTTTTATCTTTTCTTTATTCAGTTGTATTTTGTGCCTTTCAGGAGTACTTTAAGGTCCATAATTTTTGCATATTTATTTGTAAGCTTATGCATAGATATTTTATTTTTATTGTTATTATAAATGGCTAATTTATTTCATTATACCTTCTAAATGATTGTTAAATATATGAATGATGTTCATTTCTGCATAATAATTATCTACCCCACCATCCAACTGAATTCTTATTCATTTAAAAATATTTTTAGTTGATTCTTGTGTTTTCCAAGTACACATTCATAGTCTTTGTAAATAAAAACAGATTTATGTCTTCCACTCCCATTTTTCTACCTCTAGCTTCTTTTTCAAGACTTTTTTTTATCATTGATTGGTGTCTTTCCACCTCGTCCATAAATTTTTCTATCTGTTTTGCATTCTCCCTTCTTCTTTGTAGAGGTTTCTTTGTCTTTAAGTTTATGGGTAAATGTTCACATTTTTCATCTGTTTTGTGGCAACTTTTTCCTGGTGAATCTTCTTTGTTGATAGGTTTACTGTACTTTCCCACATGCTTCTCTTAAAGTGTGTTTAGGTTGATATTGTGCTTATTTAAAACTCTTTTTACATCAGTGAGTTAAGTTTTCTGGACTAAGCATTTAAGAAAGCTCCTGTGGGGAGAGAGGAGAGGTCAGAGTAGCTTCCCAGTGTTCCAATTTATGTTGCTACCACAGAGATCAACCATTTCCTGCAAATACAGTGCATCCATGCAATTCTCTATGCAACTTTACTACCTCTGCCTCTTTAAATCCATTGCTTTTCAAAGTTGAAGTTTAGGAGGATTTTTATTACCATTTCTGACACCAGATTTTCCCACTCACTATAGGAAACGTCATGCGGTTTTTTAATAGAGGGTGAAGCCCTTCCTTTCAGAAAATGTGTTTTCGCAAAATCCTTCTGCAACCTACCTTCTAAGTATTCATCTTAACTTCCTGCTAGGTGGACTCTAATCTCAGCTATTTTAGCAGTCATTACACATATGTCAGAGTCTGCAGATTATCTGTGTCCTATTTAACTGAAGATAGAGTTTTGAGAGTTTTTTGGTGTTTTGTTTTGTTTTTTTTAACCTGTTGGTTTTAGATGACTACCAGAGAGGGGGTAGCCTGGCATACAAAGCTATGTTCAATAAGCTATGTCAGCAATTTTCTTTTCCTCAAAATAACAGCTCTTCCCTGAAGTTTTCTAGCACAAAGTTTCAGGATTGGGAGTAGATCGTATGAGAAATGCATGTCTGTGGATGAGCTTTGCGTGTGTGGTATAATTATGATTACTTATTTACTTCTGGTTTTCCAAACTTTCTCTTTCTGTCATGACTTTCTCTCTCTTTCCCTCAACACATACACATATTTACACACACACACACACAGAAGAGGTTGTATATAAGATTATCAGTGCTCTATAAAAAGCTTAAATAAGTGAGAACCAAAACTCTCCCTTGGATTTGGTAATGAGGAATTCATCTGTGACCTTGAATAAATTGAGTTTGTGGAAAGAAACCAGAATTGC